TGCTTGGTAAGAAATGTACGCATTATCCTGCCCATGTAATTGTAACCCCTCTGTACAGCATGTTCACAAATAAAATTAAATTAAATTTTAAAAAATGAGCCCTGTAACTTGAGGGTATAGATGGAATTGAGAAGGATGGGAGAAACAATGGAAGCAATGGCATTGATCAAGATCCATTATACTCATAATCAGACTTGTACAAATACTTAAATTAGTAAAAGAAAAAATATAAAACATAAATGTACGATTCAACAAATGTATGATTACAATAAAATAAAATCCATTTACAAAACTCTTCCTACTTCAAACAAGTTGTGCATATTTCAAATATAATGTCTCAGAGAATGATTTTGTTTGCTTTTATATTGGTATGAGGCCTTGAATTCAGGATCTTGTATGCTGGCTTAGCTTTATCACTCATGGCTAGGTTTCTTCAAGTTAAGCCATACTTCCAGTCCATCATTTTCCCTGGTTAATTGGAAAGGAGCCTCAAAGACTTTACTGTCTAGGCTAGGTTCAAACTACCATCCTTAGATTTAAGCTTCCTAGTCAGGATTATAGGTCTAAACCATCAGTGCCTAGCAAAGAAGTTCATTTTTAAGAAGAAAACTTAAATCATTGCTTGATACCACAAATTTCTGAAGACAGTGCAAACGGGCAACCCAGGGAACAGTAGTCAAAAACTTGAATCTTCAAAGATGTGTGGTAGGATTACTGGCCTCATCCCATTTTGGCCCATAAGGTGGCTTCAAATATATTCTCTCAATTTCCAGTCAAATAAATCTTGCTTCTAGAAATCTTAGAGCAGTAAAACTGCAGCAGGCATAATTGTCTCAAACATCATTTGCCCTCTTATTTTGTGGATTGAAAAAAAAATTAACGGTGCTGGTGAGAATTAAAAAGACCAGTCCACATCAGGTCCTGTTGATAGAGTGGCTGAATTCTTGAAAAGGGTTAACAAATATTTGCTGAATGTTATTTATGGTTGGTTAAGGAATACATGTTGTCTGAGAAGTATCATTAGTTACTATGGATTTTAAAGCCAAA